AATATAATTTATTTTATAAATTTATTTAAATATTTTTAATAAAATTATTATTTTATTTTATTTTATTAAAAATATTTAAATAAATTTATAAAATAAATTATACTTTTGAATATATAGCTTACCTTTTAAAACTTTTATCTCTTAAAATTATGAGCCTCTTCTTCTATATCAATTAGTTTGAATAATAAAAGTACAGTCTTATTAATGTTACTTTTGAGATGATAAAAAAGACAAAAACCATTTTTCTCTCGCATATACTTTTAAATGTACCATGAACATATTATTTCTTCGTTAAAGTTTGCACCTCTAACCTGATTAAACTATGTGAACAAGTCATTATGTGAATAAGTCTTTGCATCTTATAAAAAATTAAAGATTAAATTCTAAATTTGTTGCTACCAACACAAATAACTCTTTCTTATCAACGTAAAATTTACCTTTTACCGTGGGACGGTGGGAGGGTGATGGGTTACTAAGTCATTAGCATACTTCATTACATAGATAAATTGAGAAAAATTGCTTTCACAAAAAATATATATATATATATATATATCTACTAGGTAGATTTTTTTTTCCTTACAAGTCTAACAATGAGAGGTAATTCTTTTATCAATATGCCTACAATTGGATTCAAACTATTTTAATTATTCATTTTAAAAAAAATTATTATTAAATTACTTAAATTTTTGATAAAATTTATTAAGTAATAAGCACTCTTTTTTTTTTTTTTAATTTTAGATTATATAATAAGAGGTAACTATCTTTTACCTTATTTTTTTATTCATTTTACTTACATATCATGTAATTCTAACTCAATATTTCTTAATTCTATTATATCAAAAAAACTATCATTGAATTAGTTACATTGTCCAGTTAAATTGCATAATAATCGAGCACTATCAATGTTACTTTTGGTATGATAGAGAAGACAGGGAAAATAATTTTTTTCTCACATCTACTTTTAAATGGACTATGAACGAAATATTTCTTGATCAAGGTTTGCTGCTTTAATTTAATTAAACTGTATGTAAATAATAAGTCATTGTTAAAGCAAATTGTTAAAGTAAATCATACTTGTTTATACAAAAATTAAAGATTAAATTTTAAATTTATTGTTAAGAGCACAAATATCTCTCTTATCAACGTAAAATTCTCCTTTTACTGTGGGACGGTGGGAGGGCGAGGGGTCACAAAGTCAATGGCATCCTTACATGGATAAATTGAGAAAAATCATTTTCACCAAAATTTTCTTTTGTTTTTGCAAGCCGGGTAATGAAAGATAATTTTTTTATCAATTGGCCTGCTAAGCACCCTAAGGTCACTTTTAAGTCAAATTGTTCCTTTTTAAAATCTATATCATTTATGTTATAGCCAAATAAAAATATATCATTTATGTTAACGTTGCATTAGCTTTGGGAAGTAATTGTTAACAGTTTCATTAGTGGTTGTGACACTAAATTTATCTACCATTAATGGATGAACCCTACATACTCAATTCTATTGATTTTTATCTCAAAACATACAATAAGATGTAATTTTCTCTCAATTTTTTACCCGCTGTATATACCCCTTATGTCATGTACTCAACGCCGGACTCCCAAGTCATTTTTAATATAATCTACCATTCATGTTGCTTTAGCACGGACGATATTGTTAACAATTTAATCTACAAGGATCGAGTATTAATTAGTATTGGACCGCAACTTGATCAATATACTAATTAGGAATCTACATTAGTTAGGAAAACAATTCATATCTCATTAATATAAATGCATGAAGCATGTTCTGACATAATAACTTGAACATCTTTAACAAGTTGAAGATACCGAATTAATTAGGACATAAACTTAAAACCCAATTCAGAAGTTTCATTACATATCACGAAACATGGACATATATTTGCATTAATTGAAGCTGTGATCCACAAAACCAAATTTGTTATTCATGGAAGGTGAACTTGCATGCATGGTTGATGGTTTCTATCCCTTTAGTTGATCAACTCGCAAACAAAAGAGATGTTTACCAACCTTTCCCATTTCCAATTACTAAATGTTGTTGATTGTTTCATGAATATTTCATAATTTTAAGGGGAAAAAAGAGAGAGAGGGAGAATAAAATGTTTTCGTGCAAGATTGCTAGGAAACATTTTTGGACTGATAGGATATCAGTACACTGCTACGTCAAAATGAGAAAGACATTAATATGTCTATTCAAGCAAGAAACAATTATATTATTAAAAAAATATTGTTCAATTTAAATTATATAATTAAATTGTATAATTTCAATTATTAAATAATAATAAACCCTGCCAATATTAAAAGTTTTCTCTTAATCTAATTTTTTTTTTAGATCAACAAAAAAATTTTATATTTTATTATTTTAAAATACAAAGATACTCATGCCCTTTACTAAGTTTACAAAATTTGCTTCATAAATCAAAATTCCTTCTTGTTCTGAACATTGCAACCTCAAGCACTTAAAATACTAAGCAATTGCTTTTACACAAATTTTTAGATTGCTGCACCACTCAAAAAAAAATATTAAAACCTAATTGCCTTACGTTCAACCAAAGAAAGGATGGGAACATAATGTTTTTTATTATTACTTTTAGTTTATAATTTAATACATTCTAATTAAAAAAAAAAAAACTCTTATATTCATGGAAGATATAATTAGTTCCAATTGTTTATGTTCCCATTCTTAAAATGATAATCAAAACATAATGTTTTGACCACATGAGTGATTAATACCAAGTCATTAACAAAATGTTAGGCATGAAATGAAGGAATCGAAATTACTATCTCTCCTGTTCAAATCCAGAAACAAATAAAAGAAAAGAAGAAATTTTAAAAAGGTTATTTTACACTATATTCTAAAAATACATATTAAAAAAATTTATTATTATAAATTTATAATTTTATATAATATTATAATTATGTCATTGTTAAAGCAGGTCACATTATGAGTTTGGTTATCAGAGATTCAGAGGCATCATTTAACGTGAGCTAAGCAAAACCCCGAGTCAACGGAGGCCAAATCAAACCCATAGGGTGTGTGGAAGGAGTATCCATTGCCATCCACTGGACCGGTTCGGGGAGTATTGACCCAGTCTCCCTCCCCCAAATATGCCAAAATAGTGTTTGTTCTACAAAGATGTCGACAGAGGCTTGGTTGTTTTTTCAAATTTTAAAGTCTACTTTTTTACAAAATTGATTTTTATTTTAGAATTTTTCTTCAAAGACCCAAACCAAAATCCAAAAGTAACTATCGTATTGTAGATATTTTTTTTCCCTTCCAAACAGTTCCAAAATCCTACAGTTTTCCATAGAATATGGTCTCAAAACTTTGTAATTTAACAACCTTTCTTTTCCATTGATCTTGATCTGCACTTGGATTGTACGCAAACAACATAGCATGATCAGCGTCCCTGCTTGCGTCCACTGTCCCATGAAAGGAAAGTCAGATCAAGCAAGCAATGATACATGAACTTTGAAAAATCGTAGTGTAGATTAAATCAAATTGGATTGCATGCTGCCAATGTAACAGAAATTTGCAGACTTTTTTTCCTATGATTTGAAAAGGAATAGGTATTCTGTTGGAATGGTGCCCAATATCAGGGGAAGGGCTTAAGACCAAACTCAAAGTAAGTACAAGCAATGGCCCCCAGGAAAGTGCACTGCACGAAATTGAAACAGAACAGCCAGTGGGACGAGTTCAAGTGTAAAGGTGTCATTAATGGAGATATGAATACTCCACAACTACTATCACTGAATTAATTTACTCACTCATTGAGAAAATTTACATACATATGTGATTTAAAAGTTAATATTAATTAATTTTAAATTAAATATAAATTTTATATTAAATTTTACATACTCTATTTTTATATAATATCAAACCCAACCTTCATTAAATTCATAAATTATTACAGCTTTGAAGGTCAAAGTCTCTTCATTAAATTCATAAACTATTTACCAATTTGAGGGTGAAAGAGTCTTCCCCGAAAATACCAACCTCAAGTTTTGCAAGATATCTCAAGATAGGACCTAAAACCTCTCCAACCAGCCAGATGGTCAAAATTGGGAAATGTTTTTTGTGTAATTTTTTTGTTATATTTTTTTATATAACTT